ACCTTTCATGCTGTCTCTAAAGGAATGAAAGATTTTTTTTCAATCACTTTGGCTACGTTCACTCTGCGACCTTCATGCTCAATTCCGATTTTTTTGTGAAATCCGATTTTTTTGCGTTGCCGTTCACATTCCCAAATATTTGCGACTTGTATGTGATCTCCTGTCTGAACTGCAGTCATACAACCCAAGTGTCCTGCATGTGCAGTAGAGGATGCGATGACATCACAGGCCAGCCTGCTCTGTGTTTAGAGAAATAAACATGGATGGTAGTGCTGGAGTGCATCTAGTTCTTTTCCAACCATAAAAACACAATCTTTTCAATATGGTTAAAAATAAATACTGCCCTCCGCATCATCGTCCGCCATGGTTGTTGTTTTTTTTTCTGCTTTTGCGTAGTAAGACCCAGAATAGTGACCTATGTCGGTTATTAATGGCGTTCAGGTCGGATGAATGCAACCTGGCTGTTCAAACACAGGTCGCATTTGAAACGATCAGATTCGTGTCGGATCCAGGACCACATAGCCAAGTGGCCTGGGTCAGATTGGAAGAAATCGGATCTGTGCTGGTCAGACTGCCATGAAAAGATCAGATCCAGGTCGAATATGGGCCAAAAAAATGGGATTTGAGGCACTTGAGGCTGCTTTGTGAACGTAGCCTAAGCTCACTTAGCTGATTGCTCCTTCCTGTGTTTCCAAAAAGTAAATAACCCAGTCCTTCTTTTCACTGTAGACAAGCCATGATCTGCTTCTCTGTTCTCCATTTTTCATTTGGATGAAATAATAGCTGCATGAATCATGACAGCAGACAAGATAGAGGAGAGCAGGAGGCGGGGTTACCAATCTACTCGCTCTGGAGAGCAGAGTTCGCTGCTTTGAGATGTTGTCTCCAAAGTCTCCAGTAGCAGAAAAAAGTCGCTAGATTTGGTGCTAGCCGCTTTTTAGAAATCAAAGTGCTAGAGGGGTCTGAAAAGTAGCTAAATATAGCAACAAAAGCGCTAAGATGGCAACACTGCTCTTTGCATCGTTTGTTTTCAAATGGTTTGCTGCTGTCTGTTTGGACCTTTCTGAACATGTGCAGCAAATGGACTGATCCAATATGGTGGACACTGAAGGGGGGGGCTGAGACAGACTTAATATAAGCGTTCTGATGGTGTTTTGGCGAAAATATTTTTGTTTTTTATCAAAAACATATTTAATGTGTGCAAATAAGGAATAGCTGTATTAATTCCCAAAAAGTGTTTAAAAATAGTCCACTGGTCTTTATTTTGAAGTTTGAAAACATTTCGCTTCCCATCCAGGAAGTTTTTTTCATTTAGAATTAAATCCTTTTAGTTGAACTTGAATTTAAAAAGCTTCCTGGATGAGATGAGAAATGTCTTTAAACTTGGAAAAGTCCAGCGGATTGTTTTTTTGGAAGTTCCTGGGGCCCCGGGAACTTGGGGCCCAGGCAACTGCCTATATTTGCCTAATGGTAAATCTTCCCCTGAGAGAATCAGATGATCCGTCCCGGCAGCACTGGGCTCCACCCTGTTCAGTTTCAGCCATTAGGAGCCGAACCGGTTCTGTGAACAGGAAGTTCTGATCCACTGGGACCTCTGAATATGGCAGCTCTAAATGTTTCCTCCTCCGCTGCGTCTTGCAGGCGTGGGCTGTGGAGACGGGGAAGTACCAGGAGGGAGTGGACGAACCGGACCCGGCCAAGTGGAAGGCCAATCTGCGCTGCGCCCTCAACAAGAGCCGGGAGTTCCAGCTGAAGTACGACGGAACCAAGGAGACGCCGCTCAAGCCCTTTAAAATCTACGAGGTGTGCGACGTGCCTGGGAACGCAGGTGAGCCGCACCTGGACCAGCTTCTGTTTGGGGTTTAACACAGAATGTGATTCCTGATTGTTCTGTTTCAGACGGAGCCGAGGAAGAGGATGAGGAGGTGAGGAAACGATAAGGCTGAACAGTCAGTAAGTCTCCATTTTCCCACCGAATAAACTGAAAACATGTGAATCTTTTCAGATGCCGAACCTGATGGACCTCAGCATCAGTGAGTGATGGGTGTTGATTGGCGTTTCCTTGGTAACCGAGCTACAGTTGACCCAGTTTGACCTTTTGTCTCCAAAGACCCTCGGATCAACGAGCCTACGACCTTCCCCCCCTTCGGCCTGTCCTCCAGCGGGTCGTTTGGGTCTCCCCAGGTGATCCCCTTGCCGCTCCTACCCATGACCTCTGACCTGCAGCCCCGCGGTACCATGGTGGATCCGGGGAGCTTCGGCCCGCCTGCAGGACTTCCTAATGGACTCCAGGACCTGAACTCGCTGTCCGCTGCAGTTTCTGGTGCGCAGCCCGAATCCATGGAAGCAAGCAACATGGGGTCCATCCAAACCCAGCCGGACCCGCAGAACCACCAACCCTGCAAGTACGACCTGCTGAGCAGCGTCCCATGTGAGTCTGAGGTCCAAAAGGTTCAGAGTAGCTGACAATATCTCAACAACGGGTCCAAACTAACCGGTACTGGTTAAGAAATGTTCCGTCTTACTTCCCAAACCATGAGGTTCTGTTTTGGCCCGGGTTAAATGCCTCCGATTCTTTTGTAGTCCAACTGGTTTCATCAAGCTGCAGAATAGAACCCATAATACCAAATTGAAACAACCATCAGCAGTGGTTCTGGACTTAGGACGGTACGGCAGCAGTTGGTTTGACCCTGTTGGCTGAACCAGATCTGCTTGGTTAAAAGTCCGACCTGGACGTGACAGCTACTGGGCTACTGGGTTCTAAAGATGTTCTGGTAGAACAGACGGTACCGTTAACCAAAGTGTTCTCTCTCTTGGCGCAGTAACAGATCTGGACCTGAAGTTCTTGTACCGGGGCCGAGCCATGGGCTCTCTAACCGTCAGTAACCCTCAGGGCTGCCGGCTCTACTACGGACACCTGGAACCTTCCCCAGATCAGGTGGACCTGTTTGGACCCGTCACCCTGCAGCAGGTTCTGTTCCCAGGAACTTCTGAAATCCAGAACCAGAAGCAGCGGTTCTACACAGATGCTCTGCTGGACGTGATGGACAGAGGCCTGATCCTGGAGATCGAGCAGCAGGACATTTACGCCATCCGCCTCTGCCAGTGTAAGGTGTTCTGGTCCGGGCCGGGAATGCCAGAACAGGGACCGCCAAACCCCATGGAGAGGGAGAGGAGGATCAAAGTGTTCAGTCTCAACGAGTTCTTGCAAGGTTTGTTCTCCAGCTTTGCCGTTTGGTTTCGTGTGAGCGGCGCCGTTTCAGGAAGGTTCTTCTGCTCCTCAGGGCTGATCCTGTTCCAGAGGGGAGAGGCTCAGAACCCGCCACCGTTCGAGGTCAACCTCTGCTTTGGAGAAGACTGGCCAGACAAGAAACCGAAGGAGAAGAAGCTCATCATGGTCCAGGTGAGTCGGACCGACGTGTCCCTTTCCTACAGGCTCGCTGGTGTGGGTTCTAATGGTTCTGCTGGTTTCAGGTGGTTCCTGTGGTGGCGCGGATCCTGACGGAGATGTTCTCTGGAGAACTGAACTGGTCCACCGACAGCATCCGGCTGCAGATTTCCAACCCGGACGTGAAGGACCAGACGGTGGAACAGTTTAAAGAACTTCAAAGGCTCCTTCAGAACCAGCTGGGGGTCCAGGGGCCCTGGGCCCCAACCGGGTCCCTGGAAGCCTCCATGAACAACGGACCCAGTGGATTCTCAATGGGGACCAGCTGAACAGCCGGATCCAGAACCACCTGGGTTGACTTCAGGACCCTTAATGCCAGGGTCGGGTCCAAGCTGATCCGATTCTGCAGAACCTCAATATTTCATGAACCTTGGATCAGAACCAGGAGTTCAAGGGTCCGATGATGCGTGATCCGACCCGACAGCCCGGATGTTTCAGTGCTGTAGAACCAGCACCTACCTCGTTCCGATTTGGATGGGTTCACATTTCCTTAAGACTATTAACCCAAACGTCAAGGTCCAGAACTTTCTAGAATTCTGGTTTTTCCTGTTGTACTTCAGCTGGGTTTTACTTCTGGTCCGTACCGTTTTCATTCCAGGCTTTATGTTTGAGCTACAATGCTGCCAGTCCAGATCGTTGGGAACCAGTAACAGGTTCTGGTTGGTTTGGTTCTGAGATCAGATGCAGCATTTCAGCTCCAACAAGGCGACCAAAAAGTTCTGGCTCTGGTCTTTCAGAACTACTACTGGCGGTGTTTTTTTTTTTGGGCCGTTCTGGTTTCTTAATGTGACCCAAAAAGAACTGTCAGAACCTGGGTGACCTCTACAGATTGAAGGTACTGGGAGCATGGCATGTCAGAACCACATCTAAACCCACCCAGAACCTTACAGGACCGGGCCGAAGGTGAGAGAAGAGCAGCTGACGTCTGGAGGAGAAACATGGATCGTTGGGTTCCAGCAGACATTCGGTCAGACGGTTCTGCTCCGGTCCATCAGAACTACAGACTGCCAAATATTCTGTATTAAAGCTGGTTGTATTTTTCAATGTTCTTTGTAATTTTAACCATAAAATTATTTTTTCTACTTTGATTAAATAAAGAGTGATTCCCAACATTTTTCTCCCCAGAGGACAAACCCGACGTCTGAGTGTTGATTTCTGGAACCAGTGTTCCAGGTGACAACAAACAGAAACCAGTTTAACCAGAACTCCCAGCAGATGTAGAGCTAATGACATCATCTTTCCTGTCATGGTGTCGGGTTACTGAGGCACCTGGGCTCAGGTACGCCTGCAGTCTCCCCGACGGTTAAACTGGACCAAGTTTACGTTTCGCTTTAGGAAAAAAAAAATGGAAACACGGCTTCATTTCAGCTGTTTTTATTATCAGCAAGGCTACATCACCACTGATGTCATGGTGCCAGTCTGCCTCATTACCCACAGTCCTCTCCGTTTCCATTTATGGAAAAAACTAAAATAAACCAAAAGATAAAAGGTCAAAGGTGACGCCAAATCCTCCAGCGTTACGCCACTCAGCCCACAGCATCATGGGAATTTTTTTGGCTCTGTTTTTTGGCACAGACAAAAACATCTTGACCAAAGTCCCAAAAATAAATCTCTTAAAAACAGTTTAGCAGGCACGTCCTGATTAATCGCCACTGAGGATCCAGCAGGAACCGATGGGCACCCTTCCTCCAGACCTGACCCCGCCCACCCAGAACCGCCTGCTGTGGGTGAGGCTGGCTCAGGTGAGCTGGGGGTGGGCTCCGTCTGTCTCATCAGTCCGTACTCCGTCAGGTTACAGAGTCCTGTTTCACATTCAAAGTCTCTCCGTCTTCCTCATGGTCTGCAGTCGCAGCTTTTTGCCGTCACCTCTGAATGTTGGTCAACTAAAGATTTAACCTGAAGAGAAAAAAAAAAGATTCAGTCCAGGTGAGCAGCTGCCCATTTCTACCTGTGCTACAAGCCATTCAACTTCCATCTAGTAACAGAGCTGGATTTCTCTGCTTTAAACCTCTGAACTACTGAGAACAGAAAAGCTGGATTCCTGCCTTCAAAATTAATTCCTCCAACATAATGGGATGAAATACCAGATCACTGGGAATAAACCTTTATGATCCTACTGAGGTCTGTATCAGACCAGTGAAAACTAAAGGGAAGAAAGGGTTACTGCCTCCTCCCAATGGCCTGTAGAAAGGGTAACAGCTGCCGCCTAAAGGTCTGTAGAAAGGGTTACCGCACCTCCTAACGATCTTTAAAAAGGGCTATCGCCGCCACCTAAAGGTCTGTAGAAAGGGTTACCGCACCTCCTAACGATCTTTAAAAAGGGCTATCGCCGCCACCTAAAGGGCTGTAGAAAGGGTTACC